TTGCAGCTAAACATAATAAATAGCCTAATAAAGTCACCCTGAATTTAAATCAAGATACAATTCCTAACAAACTACGAAGAAACTACCAAACAAAACTCTAAAATTAGTGTAAAAGTCCTTGAAACGACCATGTTCAGTCGTCTTCCGACATGAAAAATGTTAAATGTGGTTGAGGTTGAAGAGTAAAGGAAGTTCTGTGTCACATTCATTATACATTTATTTTACATATTTTTGAATTTACAAGGAGTAGCCTATAGACGTTTAAGGTGAGGAAGAAGCAGCTAAAATCTTTTACAATTTTGCAAAATAATTCATTGAAGATATTACGTGTAGAATCTTGTAAAAAGACTCGAAGAGTCAAACAAACGTTACATGTTGCATGGGCTAAACGCTAAAAGAAAAGGGAACCAGGACTACAGCAAATATTGGAAAAAACAGTCAAACATGATTTTAATTGTGCTCTAGAACAGTTTCTACATTCTCAGAGTGCCCTCTTCTGGAGAAATCCTCAGAGCTGACTGTAAACGGGGAACAAATGGGAAAGCCACCCAAAACAAGTAATTTACTGAAATGTATCATCATCAACCCTCAGGTCGGTCCAAACCCTTATGAATTTAGGAAAGGAAATTTTAAAATATATACATTTAATCAGCTAAAATTTCCACAGAACAGCAGTTGTGACATCTATGAAGCTCCAAAATGATGAAGGGGGGGGGGGGACACAGTTCTGTATTCCGAGTCTTCTGAATATAACTTTATTCGACAAACAGAACACCTTTTAAAAGGTAATATTCACTGAAAATCTCCCCCTTTCCTGCTCTCAGTACCAATTATTATCAAATGTCAATGGTTCTCGGGTGACCAAGAGATGTTTTCAAGAAAGGGGAGAATATGCATGAATAATGACTTGAATTTTGGTTTGTTTGTCACATAAAAGGTATTGTATGACTCCAGAAGACGTGTAATACAAGACGTGCTGCTTTGTCATTTTGGAGCTTGACAGCCACAGTCTCTATCAACTTTATCATATATATATATATATATAAATATATGATAAAGTAGACCAGAGTACAAAAAAAGCCTCACAGTGGTTAGGGTTTGGAACAACATGAGGGTGAGAAAATTATGTACGAAGTTTGATTTGCATTATTCCTTTAGATAGCGGCCATCCACTTCCAGCTATTTCCCTCCGCTGCGCTCTGTCCTTCCCTCACGTTTTTCACCACCCCTCCCTCGTTCCCGACTGACACTCCTCCTGACATTTCTATCAGAGTTTCTGTCTCTTTCCCTCTTGCCCTTGTCTCGTTCTCCGCTCCTGTCTCCTCTCTCTCTCGCTCTCTCCCTGCTCGTGCTCCTGTATCTCTCCTTACCTCTCTCTTTCTCATCTCTCTGTCGCCGAGGGCTCCTGCTCCTCCTCTCCCTACTGCTGCTCCTGTGTCTATCTCTACCTCTCTCTCTGCTGTGCTTGTTGTCTGGTGACCTCTGAACTCTGTGCTCACTGTGTTTTGAATGTGCGTGTCTGGAGTCTTTCTCCTGCTCTCTCTCAGAGCTGCTGTCGCTGGTTGGGTTTCTCCTTCTCTTGCTTTTCTTCTTGGCTTTCTTTCCGGAGCGTTTCTCATCCTCGGAGTCGCTGCTGCTGCTGCTGTCTGATGAGCTGCTGGATGAACTCTCACTCTTGGCTTGTTTCTTTTTCTGCTTCTTTTTGCTCTTCTTTTTCTCCTTTTTACTCTTTTTCTTTTTCTTCTCCTTTTTCTTTTCAAGACGGTCAAGTTTTCTAAAAAGAAGAAGGGGATGAGATTTAACAGACTGCAGACTGATTGGTCATTGTTATAGTACTGTATATTGTGGACATTTTCCATTTTATTCCAGCGTTTAAAATATCTTCTCCTTTTTCTTTTCAAGACGGTCAAGTTTTCTAAAAAGAAGAAGGGGATGAGATTTAACAGACTGATTGGTCATTGTTATAGTACTGTATATTGTGGACATTTTCCATTTTATTCCAGCGTTTAAAATATTTGGGTTAGTAAGTTTTTTTTTGTTTTGTTTTTAACACTTTTATTCAGCAAGGATGCATCAAATTGTCAAAAAGTGACACAGTAAAGACATTTATAATGTTGCAAAAGATTTCTATTTCATATAAATGCTGTTCTTTTGAACTTTATATTCATCAAATAATCCTGAAATAAAAAATGTTTAATGGTTTCCACAAAAATATTAAGCAGCACATCTGTTTTCGACATTGATAATCAGAAATGTTTCTTGAGCAGCAGATCAGCATATCAGAATGATTTCTGAAGATCATGTGACACTGAAGACTGGAGCAATGATGCTGAAAATACAGCTCTACCATCACAGGAATAAGTTACATTTTAAAATCTATTTAAAAAAATGGTTATTTGAAATTAAAATAAGGTAACAAAATGTCACAATATTACTGCATTTACTGTCTTTTTGAACAAATAAGTACAGCCTTGGTGAGCATAACAGACATCTTCCAAAAACATTTTTATAAATCTTTTTCAAATTCCAAACAATTAAACGCTAATATATTATTATTCATATATATATATATATTATATATTAAATATAGGTAATATTTTTTACTTTTGTGTGTGTGTGTGTTAATAAATTATTGCAACACAAATTGAAGGCTATTGCATATTTATGTTAAACAGCTACTTGCTTGCACTGAAATCAGTTTATAAAGAATTAAAAAATTAGATATTCTACTTTTCAATATCCAAAAAAAATAAATAATAATAAAAAATAAACAACAACAACAACAACAATAATAATAATAATAATGTTAAACTAATAATTTTACTAACTTTATTTTTCATTTCTTTTTTTTCCTGCCATTTCATCTTATTGGTAACACTTTATTTTAAGGTCCAATTCTCACTATTAACTAGTTGCTTATTAGCATGCATATTACTAGCATATTGGCTCTTTATTTGTACTTATAACGCACACCACCATATTCTAGATCCCTTAATCCACCCATACCTAAACTTTACAACTACCTTACCAACTACTAATAAGCAGCAAATTAGGAGTTTATTGAGGCAAAGTCGTAGTTAATAGCAAGAAATCGTCCCCAAACTAAATTGTGACCATTTTATTTATAACGATTTATATTAACAGTAATTAGACGATCAATTATATTATTATGGAGACAGCTGGTTGTGTACGCACCACCATATTCTAGATCCCTTAATCCACCCATACCTAAACTTTACAACTACCTTACCAACTACTAAGCAGCAGCAAATTAGGAGTTTATTGAGGCAAAGTCGTAGTTAATAGCAAGAAATCGTCCCCAAACTAAATTGTGACCATTTTATTTATAACGATTTATATTAACAGTAATTAGACGATCAATTATATTATTATGGAGACAGCTGGTTGTGTACGTGTAGGCCTGTCGCAATAATCAATATATCCACTTATCGCGCAATATATGTACATGACCGCAATAATTTTTGGTGACTCAATATATCGCCCATTATATTTACTTAAAAATGAATGTCACCATGTTTTGTACGTTCCACTTGCGCCTGTGTCTTTCGCAGCTTCTCGAACATAACGTGGTGTAGTCATGAGGTGCTAGTTCAAATAAAATTAAAAAACGCTTCTACCAAAAAAAGTTTAATCTGCAGATATGGCCTTGTTTAGGGATCTGAGTCTTTCGCAGCTTCTCGAACATAACGTGGTTTAGTTGGTGCTAGTTTAAATTTAAAAAATGCTTCTACAAACAAAGTTTCATCTGCAGATATGGCCTTGTTTAGGGATCTGTGTCTTTGTGCATACGGACTGCTGAGTAGTGATTGTGTTTTTCAGCAATAGTGTGCAGCCTTCATTTACAGAGAAAAGAAGGTCCGGGAAAAATCTCCATACAAGTTCTTTGTGCATTTTTCTTTTTTTTTCTACTTTGCACTTAGTTAGAAAATGTTTATTTACTATTTTTTCAGGTATCTAATATTTTGATACTTAATTTGATACTTTAAGAATGTAAAGTTTGTTGTCATTTGTTGTCATTAGGCCTTCTTGCATTATTATGCCGTTACATTATGATTATATATTCAGTGGCATAAAATGGTCTTTAAAATGACATTAATATCGCTTATCGCAATTATTTCTGGCGCAATATATCGCACAACAAAAAGTTGTTATCGTGACAGGCCTATGTACGTGTAAGAAATAATAACTCATACCTAAGCAGTTTCTGCTTTTGTTTGGTAGTCAGAGACTTCAGGAACTCCACCTCAGGGTCGTCCTCTTCCTCACTGGCCACAAGCTCCTGAAACACAAACACAAACACTAGGTCGGTCCACTCGCTGAACATACATATACAAGAGGCCAATCAGAAAGGCACTTTTGTGTAGAAGTACAGTGTGAAATCCAGCATGTCTCAGCTGTCTTGCAATTGTAGTTGTTGGTCTCATCAGTTCTAGCTTCTAGGGAATCGCTCGTGAGCCATCCGTTCAATAATTGGACATTTTTCTGCAATCACAAGCTGAGCTCCAGACATGGATATCATGGGTCATATTTGGGCAGGGACCTGGCCATTACCTGTGCTGGATCACTCATGGTGCTGTCCCTCCCAAGGACACATTTCTTCAGCGCAAACCCACTGTTTCGCATCTCTGCCATTAACTCGGAGGGGTGCATTGACGGACCTGTTAGGACAAATCACTCTTTCAGAACAAATAATGTGTGATCATGCCCCTCCTCTGCGAGAGGTACACTAGCGGCTTTGTTAACACAAAGACACACCAAATCAACTCCCTCGTCTCCCAGCTGGGTAAGACGCACACCGTATCATTCTGCAGAAGCAGAGGTTTCAACCAATCAAAACGTTTTCCCACCAACACAAGAGTAGTGTCTATCTCCGCTCTTCTGCAACATACATATTACCGTCCTGACTCTCTCATGAGACACTGCCGCCACACTGATTTATTTGAATAACAGGAACACAACAACACAAACTGAGAGAAAAGTATCCAAGTACACCACACTACCTCTACCAACTCGAAGTTAAAGGGATGCTTCAGCCAAAAATTAACATTTTGAGCTTATTTTCCCCACTTTATGTTGTTCTTAAACTATTTTGAGAAATATCAGTGGTTTATTTGTCAAATTCTGTCCAAGTCAGGGTCGTTAGGTTCCATATGCTCTTTAAAAAAACTCTTTTGCTTTGCAGAAGAAAGAAAGAGGATGCAAATGATGAAAGATTCTTATTTCTTTTTACATTTTGGGTGAAAATTATTTTAGAATCACCCACATACTATTATAGTTCTTCTTATTATTTACATTTTTTTCGCTTCAATTGTAATTGAAGTTTTAATTTTGTTGCGTGTTTTTGTCATGTTTATTAGGTTTTTTTTTTAATTTTATTAACAGTTATTTATTTGTTTTAGCTCATTTAGTTTCAGTTATTTTAGAAAAGTTGTTTGTTTGTTTTTTCAGTTTTTTATGGTTTTAGTTTGAATAAAACTATAATAACCCTGTCTGGATTTGAGATGACATGTTTGGATAATGATAGTAGTATGTGTATGAAATATTCCATCATATTTGTATCCTTCAAAAGAAATGGAATCATCGATTTTCAGACACAATGCTACCATATGCTTCTAGTGTCACAAGAGGTAAAAGTTTGTCAGGTTAGCCTACTTCAAAATAAAAATACTTTACCAGCATCATATAAACACAAATAACGTATTAGATTACAGTAGATCACCTAAAATCTTAAAAACATGAAATGCACTTTTTGCCTGACTGCCTCAGCTCAGGATAGTCACTACTGAAGGTTAGGGACTGTCCAAACAGTGCTGTCATGACAACACTTTCATATGATGCCATTAGTCACATGGCATTGGCTCAGAAACACCTGTATTCTGAACTTGACATGAATGAGAAAGTTTTGTCCTGGTATTGTAGAATTTCAAGGTGTATTATTAGACACTGCCGCCATCTACAGGTCTGAAAGTGTATATCAGCTCTAATATAAGAACAGCAAACCTATCCCCTGGTTTCACAGACAAGGCTTAAGCCTAGTCCCAGACTAAAATGTAAGCTTGAGCTGTTTCAACTGAAAGAAACTTGCACTGATTGATCTTAAAATATGTCAATGCCTTTGTTTTCTCTCAAGAAGGACACCAGTGATGTTTTTTTCTAAGGCACTTTATAAAAATTACTTAAAGGGATAGTTCACTCAAAAATGAAAATGTGATGTTTATCTGCTTACCCGCAGGGCATCCAAGATGTAGGTGACTTTGTTTCTTCAGTAGAACACATTTGATGATTTTTTAACTTTAACCGTTGCAGTCTATCAGTCGTATAATGCATGGCAATGGTAACAAAATCTATGAGAGTAAAAAAAACATGCACAGACAAATCCAAATTAAACCCTGCGGCTCGTGACGACACACTGATGTCCTTAGACACGAAACGATCGGTTTGTGCCAGAAACCGAACAGTATTTAGATCATTTTTTACCTCTAATACACCACTATGTCCAACTGTCTTTGGGCGCGCGCACGGCAGCCAGTGCGTGAGGTGTGTACGCGCTCTGGCTTAGTTTACGTTAATGTGTTGATATCCAGCCGAAGAGCAATCAACCATAACTTCAGGCGAGCAGGCTCAGAAGTTGGGAATACGTGGAAAGTCACCACTCCCGAATGAGTTCGCACGAGAGAACGTAATCTTTTAGTTTTAAGTCGGTTTGAACAATCCGGATAAGCGCAAGTAAGTACCATTTTGATTAGCCGTCGTACCTACAATGTTTGTGCACTGTGTAAACAATGAGTGACGTATACGTGCAAGAGATCACTTCCGGCGCTTGTGTAAACTACGCCAGAGCGCGTACACACCTCACGCACCGGATGCCGTGCACGCGCACAAAGACAGTTGGACATAGTGGTGTATTAGAGGTAAAATATGATATAAATACTGTTCGGTTTCTGGCACAAACCGATCGTTTCGTGTCTTAGGACATCAATGCGTCGTCACAAGCCGCAGTGTTTAATTTGGATTTGTCTGTGCATGTTTTTTTTTACTCTCATAGATTTTGTTACCATTGCCATGCATTATAAGGCTGACAGACTGCAACGGTTTGAGTTAAAAATCTTAGTTTGTATTCTACTGAAGAAGCAAAGTAACCTATATCTTGGATGCCCTGGGGGTAAGCAGATAAACATCAAATTTTCATTTTTGGGTGAACTATCCCTTTAAATGTCCTAATTCAACTGTGGCCTAATCCTGGCTTAGTCTAAGCCCTGTCTGTGAAACCAGGCCTATATATCATATATCGTACAAGGAAAGAGCAGTTTACCTGCTTCATCACTGGCCATGGAGCTGGCGTTGATCCCTGACAGGCCAAAGAGGGGACACTCACGATCCGTGTTCACGTGACCCCATTTATGACACTTAATGCAGCGCACATTCCGCACCTAAAACAATGAAAGAACAAGGAAACAAGCACAAAGCCCACATTCACTGCATTTAGACATCCGTGGATAAGTAAAAACTGTTCATCTGCATCTATAGATCTATCTAGAGCACAGAACGAAACATCACCTGAATGCCAAAAGGCTGATCCCGAATATTCATGTCATCCTTTGCATACCTGATAAGACAGAAAATAACCGTAAGAAATGCATGAATGTGCAAACCTGAGAAGTGTTGACTAGTGAACTTACTTTTCACGAGGAGCTACTTTCTGCCACTCAAACTTGCACTCAGATTCTCCTTCCTAAGGAGAAAAAAGGTCATTTTAGGTCACATAATGAGCTGTAACTATAAGAGAAAAATCCACAAGATGCCTTCTTAAGCGCGTGTTAAAGCCTAACACATGAAATAATAGAGAAATGAAATGAAACATTTAACAATTTACACCAAATCTTAGGTTTTTCAGTAAATGTTTGAACATGTTGATGATTAAGATGCCTTAAAAATTGTGCATCAAATACAATACAGTAGGCTTTATGAGGGTAAACATTAAGGATGCACCGATACCGATACTGGTATCGGGCCCGATACTGAGCGCTTGTACTCGTTAAAATGCCCCGATACCAAATGCCGATACCACACAGGGTTTGACTGAATCTATTTGATAAATGAAGTTAACCAACTAACATTATACATACCCTTTTGGTTTCTGTACCCAATATTTAAAAAATTTACAAATGCAATAAAAATATTGGTATCGGTATCGGCAAGTGCCAAAAATAAAAGTATCGGTATCGGGCGAGTATCGGTATCGGTGCATCCCTAGTAAACATACTTGACAAGTTTAATACTCATATTTAAAAGTTTGACACGGCACAGTCACTAATAACCAACAGCAAACTTTAACGTAATGTAAATGAACATTACCTCTTTTGTCTCCTCTGGAGGAAGTCGGTGACGATATAAAAACAACAACAACAACAGGTGAATACATACGCTTTCGTTTAACTCTTTTTTCTTGATTGTCTAACACTTTGATAGAAAATCTTATATGTGTCATGATTTGGACACGAATGATCGGTTATCATCAGTTACACTAATTTAATGACTCTTAAAGACTCGTAAATGTTCCACAGATGTTTGTGTTGGTCCACGACCACATGAAGAATGTGCTGAAAAGCCAGTTTATAACCTTTAGACGCTCCTGGAGGTGCTTCGTACATGAAGTTAAGGCCGTTCTTCACACGATCATCTCCCATCAGCAGTCTGGGGAATAATGCACACAAGAGACAAAGCTACAGGTAAAGACCTGACTATCTGAGTAACACCAGGGAATGTGTTTCAGCTGGATCCAGGCCTGTGTCCTCTCCTCTAACCTGTTGTTGTATGTGTCCTGCTCCTTGACGTAAGCCTGCATCAGCTCCTCCTGCTTCTTCTTGTCGAAGGTTAGCTTCTGCTCTGCGATCCATACCTGACAATCAGAGTTTAGCAGTTTAGCAGTTTCTCTCTCAACACTTCACATCACACTCGGCTTTCTATATCATTAGCTGATCAAACTGACTTTGTTTTATCATTTTCAATGATATGTATATCACACTGATATATCATTACAACCATATGATGTGTGTGTGACTAAATATATCTGCGTATCCAATTAGAACAATAAGTACAGCTCTGAACTGATGTTTACACCGTAGCAACAGTAGCTTAGCTTGCTAGCTAAAACCTCCCGTTTACCTTCTTTATGTTGGATTTTGATGCAGGATGAAAATCTTTCTTGCACATGAAATTAGCAAAAGACTTCCCCATGACTTCTGACCACCAGCGTAATGATCAAGTTGTTATTAAAAGCTGTTGTTTTGTGTTAAAGCCTTTCCGCCGAACACAATAAAAACACCCTCAGCGGCGCCTCGCTATGACGCAATGATGGCGGGACAGCGGCGCTAAAAAGCACATCCGGGCTCTTCATGATTATACGTTTAATGTAAAACTTCACTGTTACATATTGTAATTGCAACTATGTCTGCCTTTGAGAATTGTTAATTGTTAATATTGTTTATTCAATGCCTGTTTTGTATGTACATTTGTTAACTTAATATTAAAAAAATAAAAATAAAAAAGCACATCCGGGATTTTTTAGTTTTATCTATGCATTCTTATTTATTTATTTCTTCTTCTTTGTCTTCCTATATAATTTCTGTATTCATGATGTAATCCAATGTTACATTAATTGTTGAAGTTAAGTGTTTATACTTGCAATAATAAAATAATAATAATTTTTTTAAGAAATTAGATTTAATTTTGAAATGATATTATGCACATTTTGTAACTCATCTCCAGATAATACGGAGCATTTTTTTTTTTTTTTGGTTGTAAATATTCTAGTGTCTTCTGGGACAAAGTGCAATTATGGTTAAAAGAGAGAAATGTGGTTGAACTGAACCTGTCCTAAGTATGGAAACTATGAAGAAGTGGTAAAAAAGGTTTGTCGATTAATGTTTTACTTTAGTTAGCGAAGAATTTTCTAAATCACCCCCCATGTTTATAGTATTTTATTTATTTATTATTTATTTTTATTTAGTCATTTAGCAGACGCTTTTATCCAAATAAGTATTTAAGAATTATTTTAGACAATA